CATCTCTGCTCAGGACGCCAAACCTGGTGATCCCTGCTGTCACTTTTGGGCCCTACTCCGGAGCTCAGAGTCCTCACGGGAAAGGCCGGGCTCTGGTCCTTGTGGGAGGGCCTCCTGAGGAGTCCTGAGCCCCACCCCCCTGGCGGGGGGCAGGCTCTTCCAGAAAGTAAGTCCAGGAAGTGAGTGGGAGCGGGATGGAAGGGATATTTTGGGCCTGTGGGGACCAAGAGACCAAGGAGGAAAAGGGCCCAAATGCTGCGAAGGAACCTGGGAGGCGAGAGCTGGGAGGGCCTGGCTTTGTGTGAAAAGGGTCGCTGGCCACTTGCTGGGAAGCAAAGCCTCATCTCATTGCACATTTGCCTCCAGAATGCACCCAGCGTCCAGCCCACGTGTTTTAGTTCTTACCACGTGCCAGGCATTTCCCGTGCACCATTCTGTTCAGTTTTTACAACAAACCTGCCAGGCTATCACAGGCAGATGAGGAGCTGGAGTCAGAAAGGTTAGGAAATGCATCCAGGGTCGCCAAGTTGGAGGCAGAGCAGGGATCTCAGCCTTGGTCTTCCAGCTGCTGATCACGGCGCCTGGCAGGGCTCTGCAAGGTGTGCTCTTGCATTTGGGCCTCAAGGAAGCGATGTAGGGAGAGTTGCAGGGGCATTTGTCCATCCCCCCCCACCCCCCCCCACACACCCCTAGTTATTGTTGTTCTTTTTTTAAAAAAATATATATATATATATTTTATTAACTTTCCACAGAGAGGAAGGGAGAGGGACAGAGAGCTAGAAACATCGATGAGAGAGAAACATCAATCAGCTGCCTCCTGCACACCCCCCAATGGGGATGCACCTGCAACCGGAATCAAACCTGGGACCCTCCAGTCCGCAGGCCGACGCTCTATCCACTGAGCCAAACCGGTTTTGGCAAAAGGAGGTATTCTTATTTTACGTCCGAAGAAGCTGGGACTGAGGGAAGGCAAGGAACTTGGCCGAGACCACACAGCGCTTTTTGTCAGAGCGGGGAATGCCAGTGCAGGGCGGCCCACCTCAGGGCTTCTGGCGAGTGTTTACGCTCTGTGCACCCATGCTGGTTGCTTCCGGGGAAGGGAGAGGAAGGTAAACACGAAGAGTGGTCAGGGTTAATTCTCATCCCTTGCCCACGTCCCTCCGAGGCATCCTCGCCACGGCTTCCCTGCCAGTTGTCCTTAAAAGAAATTGTTTTGGCCGTTCAGGTTCCTCCATGAATCGGAGCAGCATCTGGTCTTTGCAGAGAGCCAGGCGTTCCAGGAGCTCATCACCCGGGGTCCGGATGGCTCCTGGTTTGACGACCAGCTGGCACCAGCTCCCCTGGGAGGGTGTAGGCGAAGTCTGATCTGCAGTTACTCATTTCCCCACATTAGGAGGCCCAGAAAAATGGTTCTTTTAGAGGCCCCAGATCTGATCTGAATCCCAAGTTTGCACCCCTTTCTTCTTTTTTTTTTTAATCCTCACCTGAAAATACTTTCCCCATTGATTTTTAGAGAGAGTGGGAGAGAGAGGGAAAGACAGAAATAACGATGTGAGAGAAACACATCGATGGGTTGCCTCCTGCACGCGCCCCAATCAGGGCCCTGGCTGGGGAGGAGCCTGCAACCGAGGCACATGCCCTTGACCCAAATCAAACCCAGGACCCTTTGGTCCGCAGGCTGACACTTTATCCACTGAACCAAACCGGCCAGGGCTGCACCCCCTTCTCCAGTAAAGATGCTGGGTGCATTTGAAAGCCCACCACCATCTCCAGCGCTGCTGCTCATGGAATCCCGAGGAAGCCAAGGCAATGCGCCCTCCTGGGCCCCACCCTCGGAGAGGGACTCTGCCTTTCTGTACTCCAGTCCTTCCCTCAGAATCTGTAAATCCAAACTGTGCTGGACATGAAAAGTTCTGTCGTACGTTTGGAATCGAAACTCATTAGTGACAAAAACCAGACTGGACCCTATATTTCTCTCTCAGAGTGAGTATGGATAGGCTTTAGTGCAGAAATCAGCTGATGAGTCCGATTATGGCGCTGCTGCTGCTGCTGCTGCTGCTGCTGTGGGGTGTTATGTAACATGTCGCATATGCGTCACCCGTTATTTATAAAATCCACAACGTTCTGGAGGCTGGCCCCACACAGCCCAGCTACGGGGTGTGGCCTCGTTTTATAATGCCCCCTGTTCAAGCAGGAAGGCCACCTCCTGATCAGGAAGCAGGTGGCTGATGTAGATTCATAAAGAGAGTCCTCCCAAGGGGTCAGACGAGGTGCCTGACTTCCATCACCCAGGGGCTCCTGCTTTGCTGTCTTCTCTGCGAGGCGGATGACACCAGAAGCAGCTTAGCCCTGAGTGTGGATTTTTCCTGTGGGAGAAGGCAGCTTGAGACAAGTGGGTACTCGGAAAGGGTGAGCAAGGGCCAGTGGGAAGGAAGATGGGACAGGACGAGGTCTCAGGCAGATCGCAGGCCCTAGGTAGGGCCTGCAGCGGGGAGATCTACACAGCACAGAGCTAAGCCGGGACCATGGCCAGTCAGCCCGGCTCATTGCTCACCGCTGTCTGAGCTTTAGCGCCCAGAGCACAGCCACCGAGTGGCCTTCAAATGACAGAAACCCTGTCCTGGGCAGGTGTCACTCAGGGCTGTCTGGGTCAGGACCAGGGGGAGGCCCTGCCCGTTGCTTCTCAGCTCCCCAGGAGGGTCCCAGCAGATGGGCAGGTGTCAAAGCCGATGGTATCAAAGGTGAGAACCACCCTGAGTGGCACCAGCGACTGTTTTTTAATAGAGCTGGCCAGTGTCAAGGCGGAGTGGCGGGGGACGGCTTTTCCATTGTCAGAGGTTCCCGTTATTTACAAATGAAGAAATGCCGAAACACGGTTACACCCATTCGGGTCCACTTATCAAGTTGTGCGTGGACGGTGCGGTCTTTCTGCAATCCTCCACAGCAGCGTGTCTGGGACCGCAGGGATGTTTGGGGGGTAGCGGGGGTGCGAGGCGAGGCGGCTGGGGCGCCCCCTGCCGGACACGGCGGGCCGCGCTCCGCCGCAGACTCCGGGCTACCGCGGGCCATCGGGGCGCTCCTCCTGCCACCTGGCGGCGGCGGCGGGAACTGCAAGGGCGCCCCGCCCCCGAGCCCCGCCGGCTGGCCGGCCGGGCGGGGGCCTCCCCGCGGCGGAGGCAGCAAAGGGTTAAGCTGTCAGCGGCGCGACGTTAAACAGGTGTCAAAGGCGCCCCATATATCTGCAGATGGAAATCAAATTCTTTGCCGTATAAAAAGATAAATTACCCAGGCGCTGCCTCGCGTCCCACTCATCACGCCAGCGCCAGACGGCAAGCAATTTTTTTTTTTTTAATGTGCTAACGACCTAATCAAGCAATCAAGTCTGAGAAGATTGCAGAGTGACCGGGGCAGCCATCTGCCGGCGAGCCCCGCATCCATTCCCCGCGCGGGGCGGGGCGGGGCCGGGGCGGGAGCTGCGGGGAGGGGGGAGGGGGTGGAAGAAGGGGGAAAAAATCCTAAACAAATTAACACCCAATTTTCCCCGTCTAATTAGTTAAATGAGAAGTGTTCGGGGTCCCCCGGGGCGGGGGGGCGGCCCGCGCGGCCTCCCCAGCATTAATTAGCGCGGGTCAATGCCGCGGCTCCCGCGGGAGCGGCCGCTTTAATTTCCCGTGATATTTCAGCGCCTGAGGCCCATCGATTCAAACTGAAATTAACTTATTTTTCAATCAGCCCAGGGCTGCCCCTGGGGGTGACTCTTCTTTTGCCGCCTCCTGAATGGAGCGCGAGCAATTTTTCATCAAAAGCTGAAGCCTCCGCGCCGGGGGCGGGCGGGGCCAGGAGGGGGGAACCGGCGGGCGGGCGAGGCGAGGGAATGGAAATCGCAGCGGAAACTAATAGGTTTCTGGAATCCGCCCCCGCCCTCCACCTTCTCTCCCCTCTCCCCAGAGCTCCTTGCTGCACAGGGGGGTCGCAGCCCAAGGGGCTGAGGGAACCAGAGGGGCTCCCCGGGCCTGGGGTCCTCCCCGGGGAACAGTGGTCTGGCCCTGGCCCTGGCTCTGGCTGCCGTCAGTGGCTGGAAGTCTCAGCAAAGCTGGTTTGGGAGACAGGAATCTCCCCTCCCCCAGCATGGCAGCTCCTCCAGGATGGGACAACCGCCCACCATTCAGTCCGCACCAGGCAGTCCTGGGACCAGAAAGACACCTTCCCTAACGTGCCCCCACCACACCTTCCTAGGTCTCCACTCCTGTCTGCTTCTCCCACCACTGAGAATGCCATCTTTCTCCCCTGGCCGAGGGATGGCGGCCCGACTCCCTCAAACAGGATGCTGCCTTAGGGTGGTAACTGGAGAGCAGGCGAACGGGGGCCCTGTGGATGGCAGGCTCCGGGCAGGGCCCGGAGGCCGCTGACTCAGGCCTTCCGGGGGCCTCCCCTCCTCTGCTCAGTTCCCAGGCTCCATGGCACCTTCCTGCTCCCTGGAAGCCTTCGGAGACTGCTCGGGGCTGGGGGGAGAGGGAGCTCTGAACACGGCTAGTCCAGCCCCTGGGAAGGAACGTGTGTCTCTGAAAGTCAGAACATTCTCTTTATGGCCTGAGGGCTGAGCACAGGAGCTACCAGGGTCGGGCTTCTCAGCTGCAAACTGAGGACCACATTGGGCACTGCTCACCTGCAGGACCCTGTCCTGGAGGTGTCCTTGTCTCATAAATAAAAAAAAAAAAAGACGCATTTCACCCATTAGACCCTCACAGGACAGTGAGAGTCCTAGGAGGGGACGGTCTCATTCCGGTGGATACCCCTGAGTCTGGAGGAACCCCCTGGTTCCATGGGGCTTGAGTAAGGACCCCCACCTGGAGAAACCGGCGGTCCCAAGAGTACGGGGCCGTTGGCCCTGGGAGGGGTGGGGACCCTGACTCCAGACAGACATGGGGGGTGGGGGAGGGGAGAGGCCTGGGCCCAGGGCCCCTCGGACACGCCCCTGACCTGTACGCCTGCACCGGCAGGTCTGGTTCCAGAACCGCAGAGCCAAGTGGAGGAAGCGGGAGAAGTGCTGGGGCCGGAGCAGCGTCATGGCGGAGTACGGGCTGTACGGGGCCATGGTGCGGCACTCCATCCCGCTGCCCGAGTCCATCCTCAAGTCCGCCAAGGACGGCATCATGGACTCCTGCGCCCCGTGGCTGCTCGGTAAGAGCCCACGCCCTCCCTGGGGCCCTGCCCCTGAGGCCAGGGAGTGGGCTCCCCCCGGAGGGGACAGGCCCAGGAGCAAAGGGGCCCCGCACAGCAGCGGAGCGGAAGGGAGGCCTCCGAAGCAGCCCCCAGCTCCTTTGCGGGGCTCCGTGTGGGCGGGGCCCAGCGCTTGGTGTCTCTCCTGCATCTACCCATGGTGCCTAGACGTCCATCCTGGACAGGTCCCTGACTATGGGTTCTTTTGTCCTGTGAGGGGGTGTGACTGGTGCCCCAGAGTCTGTGCCCCTTCCTTCCCTGGTGGGAGGGGCGCTTGTGAAGAATGAAACTGCCCCTCTTAGGGCTTGGGGGACCCCTGGGTCCTTTTGGCCGCCATTCTGGCTTTGCCCAAAGGCCTTCTTTCCCCCTGAATCTCTCCACCTGCCATCTTCCCCCGCCTGCCAATGGGCCTCTGTCTTGGGGTCCTACAATCTGGAATCCCAGGAGGGAGGGGTAGGGAGCAAGCACTGCTTGGGAAGGGACAGAGGGCTGCCAGGGGGCAGTGCCCGGGGCGTGGCTGGGAGAAGCCCTCTGCAGGCCTGGCCCAGCCCTGGGACGCGTGTGACTGTGGTGTGTGAAGCAAGGCTTTCTGCTCGTCCTTAATTCTGGCCTCTCTCTATCTTTGCCGTTTTCAGTTCAAGATGGCTTTCCCAGGCGCTTTTCTAAACCCGAATACCAACACTTCTTTTTAGGGATGCACAAAAAGTCGCTGGAGGCGGCGGCCGAGTCGGGGAGGAAGCCCGAGGTGGAGCGCCAGGCCCTGCCCAAGCTGGATCAGATGGAGCAGGAGGAGCGGGGCCCCGGCGGCCCCTCGGCCCTGTCCCAGGAGGAACTGAGGGAGAACAGCATCGCGGCGCTCCGGGCCAGGGCGCAGGAGCACAGCACCAAGGTGCTGGGGACCGTGTCCGGGCCCAGCCGCCTGGCCCCGGACGCCGAGGAGCCCGAGGAGGAGGCGGCCGCGGACGAGGACAGGCCGGGGGAGACGCCGAGTCCTCGGCAGCTGGAGGACGTGGCTTAGGTCAAAGGTCAAGGGCGCGCTGCCACCGGAGCCCAGGACTCTGCTCTCCTCAGGCCCGTGGTGCCAGGAGGCGTTCTCGAGGCTGGGCTCAGCCTGGCTTTTGCCACCCTCTCCCTGCCCCATAGACCCTCCGTGACACAGCTCCGTTCCTGCCAAGGCTTTGGACCACGCTGGTGTCCCCTTCCTAGTCTTGACCTTGTCAGCCTCCTCCTCAGCCCAACAGCCCTGCCTCAGGAATCCTTCTGCTGCCCACACCGCCCCCTCAGCCGCTTTCACTCAATCCCTGGCCACTCTCACCGTCCTCATGGTCCTCTCGCTCTAGACCCTCCCCCCAGCTCTAACGCCCTGTGGATTCTGCTCCCCCCCACCAGGCCCACAGCCCATTGCCTGCCCGGCCCCGTCAGGGGGAGGGGCCCTGCACTCCAAGGCCAATGTCCTGAGCACCCCCACCCTCAGCCAGCTTCTCCCCTCAGTCTGTCCTTTCCCGTGGGCTGGACCTGGGCCTCCGCCGTGGGAATGTACTGCCCTGAAGGCCCAGGCACAGCCTCTGCTCCACCCCCTCCGTGGGGCCCAGATTAAACATGGGAGGGAAGACTCAGCCCGGGCCCCTCGGCCGCCCTCCATGGTCACCCCGAGGAACCTGCCCTCTCCACACCCATCCTGCCCCACCATCCCTCCCAGCACCGGTGCCGGCCACACGTGAGATGATGTACAACCTGTAGTGAGTCCAGGGCCCGGGCCCTGCAGCCAGGGGCACCTCTCACCCATGCCGTGGCACTCTGCACTGCTGGTGGGGGGGGCACCCCCTCCTCCAGGGCCCTTGGGCTGAGCTCTAAAGCACCCGCTCCCCGATGTGCTGCCTGTGACCCCTACTCACTGTGCAAGGCGCCCTTCCCCTGGAGCTTCTCGCAAATCAATGGTTCGCATGCGCCCTGCCTTGGAGCAGCCCAATCCAGCTGTTAACTGAACACCCGGGGAGCCACAGACCTTGACCCAATTCCACCCAGGCTATCCTGGGAAGGCCGAGCCTGGAGAGGGCCTGGGGCTATATAGTCATCGAGGTTTTGTCACAAGGAGGGAATGAGAAAAGGCTCAAAGGAGGTAAGCAGGAGCCAGTGTGAGACCCAAACTACAAACTAAGCAATGGGCACACAGCTTCATGCCAGGGGTGTGCCCAGGTGCCTGTGCACTAGAAGGAGACAGGCAGTGACCATGTGGGGGTAGGGGGCAAAGGGTCTCTTCCTGTCTGCCGAGAGGAGCTGTGCTTACTGGCGGCCTCTCTGCAGCTGTCCCTTCACCCCCAGGCCGTCATGTCCCCCTCACCCCATCGCATCTCCTCACCATCCCACCTCTTCTGCAGGGAATACCTCGAGAAAGGCCTGAGACAGTGAACTGGGATTTTAATTCCCTGTCAAAAGTTGATTTCTTCTTCATTCCACTCACAGAACTCTCCCCTGGTTCTTGTCTCTGCCCCGTTGGTTTGACGTGTTAGACTGTAGCCCCCGGCGTGTAAATAATGTACATAGAGTGAGGAGAAAGAGCCTTGACATTGAGGTATTTGAAATATGAACTGTAATAACTCCTAGGTATTCCAAACCTGTGATTTCTGTGCCATTTTCTGTAAAGATACAAGAATAAAATTGATGTAAAAACAGCAGGGGAGGGGTCCAGCGGTCCTGTGTGTGTGTGTGTGTGTGTGTGTGTAGCATAAAACCAAATCATGAAGGCAGTTTAGGTCAAATTGTTGGGTCCCCTTTTAAAATTACTGCAACTGGCCAAAACCGGTTTGGCTCAGTGGATAGAGCGTCGGACTGCGGACTGAAAGGTCCCAGGTTCAGTTCTGGTCAAGGGCCTGTACCTTGTTTGCGGGCACATCCCCAGTAGTGGGTGTGCAAGAGGCAGCTGATCGATGTTTCTCTCTCATCGATGTTTCAAACTCTCTCTCTCTCTCTTCCTCTCTGTAAAAACTCAATAAAATATACTTTTAAAAAGTACAAAAAAAAAAAAAAATTACTGCAACTGTAGAAGCACGTGGCCTGCCTTCCTCCCCTGAGCTGACATTTGTCACCTGTCAGTGACATTTATCACTGTGATGGGGGCCCTCCTCCATTGCAGGCACATCTAACACAGCCCAGCCCTTCGGTCCTGAAGTTACTGCCGATGACTCCCTCCTTCTCACACAATAGGTAGTCGGCAAACTCATTAGACAGTAGAGCCAAATAGCAACAGTATAACAGTTGACATTTCTTTTGAGAGCCAAATTTTTTAAACGTAAAACTTCTAACGCCACTTCTTCAAAATAGACTCGCCCAGGCTGTGGTATTTTGTGGAAGAGCCACACTCAAGGGGCCAAAGAGCCGCGTGTGACTCGCAAGCCGCAGTTTGCCGACCACGGCACTAACCTTTCCCTCTGGTACTTAACTTACAAGCAACCCTTTTTCTTCCATCCCTCAGGCGAAGCCCACAGCCCATCCTGGCCCCCAAGAATCCCAACTCCTTCCTCTGTGTACACATGTGTACAGAAATGTCTTACATCACAGCATTAATTACACAGAAAAGGCAAGGGGATTGGGAACTGCAAGTGGGAGGAACCCTCGCTAGATCCCGGTCTGAGAAGGGAGTAAAAGACAAGCCCAGGAAGACTGCGTGGACTGTCTGCAGACAGCTGGGGCCTACCGGCTCGATGAAGTGTGGGATGGAATTACAGATGAGACAGAGAGAGAGAGAGAGAGAGAGAGAGAGAGAGAGAGAGAGAGCCCCTCCTCCAGGAAGGACTTAGATCCTGTTGTCCTAGCATGGGGGGCATTCCTCCATGAAGGTGTTTTTATGCATCATATTGTAATTTCTTATTTACAAGTCTGTCTTCCTCACAAGACTGACTTCTTCAAGGACGGGGGGGGGGAGGGGGGGTTTACATCTTATTTCTCTGTAATCCCCAAGACCCACCAAATCCATTGTTGAATAAATGAGTGCTCTTCCTCTAACTCATGCATTTACCCAATGACTTAAAAACATTTATGGAGCATCTGTGTGTCAGCCAGTGGACGAGGCACTGGGAATAGAGTGGTGGGCAAAGCTGTCGTACTTGGAGGGAAATACAGATAGAATTCAAGTAATCACACGAATAAACACAAAATCACAAATGTCCTAAGGCAGTGGAGGCGTGAGATAAGGGACCACGAAAACAGAACCATGGGATTTGAGTCAGGTGAACCTCAGAGCCTCTCTCCCATGTTTGAAGGATAATGTCAGCTCAGCCAGCCTCACGGCGCTGCAACGTCCCACTTGAGCACAGGGGAAGGGCGGCCACACCGAGGCAGCGCAGGCCTGGGTGAGCCCGTGGCACCTGCCCCACCCTCAGATCTGGGGGACAACTGGGACGCTCAGAGGCTTGGGAGCCGCCAGAAACCCTTGGACAATCACCCCAGGAAACAGCCTGGGAAGAGGCGTGCAGCTCTCATGCAGAGAGGCCTCCAGGTGAGTCAGGAGGGGAGAGGCTGGGACACTGCAAAGGAAAGAACTAGACAGGAGGGGCCTGGACAGCAGGGCCCCCCAGGTGGAACGAAGAGAAGCCTTGCTAGGCGCTGACTAGCTCTGTGGGGGGCTTCTCAGGGTCTCCGTGCCTGGGAGGATTTTATTTCAGGCTCCACCGGCCCAAAAGGCTGTGTGCACCAAGAGCCAGGGTGTGAAAGGGCAAGGAGCCCTGATTTATGAGGGTGCCTGGAGCTGCTGAGAAGACCTGGCAAGGACAGATGAGGAGTCTGGTAAGAGGCAAGGATGAGGGTGTGGGAGCTTGAGACCCAGAACTGTGGTCCGCAAGGAAGTGGGGCCATGACCTGAGGGATTTCTGGGACCTGGTCCATCCAGGCCCGTCTCCTGCACCCCAGCTCCTGGAGCCTGGAAGTCTTCCTTCTGAGAGCTGCAGTGCCCTGTGCTCTCAGACTCACCCAGGGTGTGGCACCCCACCTGGTTTCCACACTAATGTAAGTCACTCGTAGGGGAAACTGGCAGAGGGGGTTATGGGAACTCTGTAATATCTTCACTGTTATTTTATAAATCTAAAATTGTTACAAATATGAAGTTTATTTTAAAAATAAACTAGGAACAGCTGGCATGGCTCAGTGATTGAGCACTGACCTATGAACCAGGTCACAGCTCAATTCCCGTTCAGGGCACATGCCTGGAATTCAGGCTCAATCCCCAGTAGGGGGCGTGCGGGAAACAGTCGATCAATTATTCTATCGCATCATTGATGTTTCTCTCTCTCCCTTTCCTTTACTCTCTGAAATCAATAAAAAATATATTCATAACAAAAACACACAACTAGTTTGTTTTCTAGAGGGAAACAACAGAGGACTTCTCTGGGTTGGAACTTTTGGCTGCTCCTTTCCTAATCTCTTACCCCTGGGCTAGGAGTTGCAGTTAAGACCCTATAAGAGCATCCAGCACCCAGGACCCAGCTCTGGGAGCTGAGACTGGGCCCAGAGCCACCAGCTTCAGCCAGTTCCGACTCCTGGTGTTTCCTTGCTGCCTCTTCCTTCTTTAGGTCTCTCTCTCCTTCTGCCTGGTCGCTCCTCACCTCAGGCAGCTATGAAGCCCCCGTGTAGTCAGAGCTGAACAGGCCCAGCAGGGATCTGCTCCATTAATTTCTCCCAGATCAACTCCTCCCAAAGCTAACTCTTCTTGGTGGCAGCCAGCCTCCTCCCCACCCTGACTCCTCACCTGATTTACCTGCATGGCTCTGCTCCCAGAATGCACTTCAGGGAGTCTGTCACAGGAAGGGGTCAGAGTCAGAGTGATGAGGTGGCCCTGATTGTGCATTTTCCAATTTCTCCTTGTTAAATTCTGCTCCTTTATTGCATTTGCTGACTCACGCTATGTTGTCTGCTTGTCTTCTGTAAGTTAATGCGACAGCTTTTATTTTATTTTTTTTTTCTGTGAGAATACTGGGATCGCTTAAGTATTTTTTTTCCAGTTTTCACCTTGGGCTAGTCCTCTGTCATTGTGTAGGTATTTAAAATGCAAGCTCCCACCCCTGGCGGTTTGGCTCAGTGGACATAGTGCCACTGGCCTGTGGACTGAAGGGTCCCGGGTTTGATCCATGGATGTTGGCTCGATCCCCAGTAGGGGGCGTGCAGGAGGCAGCCCATCCATGATTCTCTCTCATCATTGATGTTTCTCTCTCTCCCTCTCCCTTCCTCTCTGAAATCAATAAAAATAAAATATAAGCTTCCACCTGGCTGGTGTGGCTCAGTGGTTGA